CCATTTTTCTGCTCTTCGCCACCCTTCATCACCGATCTCACCACTCCAAACCTTTCTCTTCCATTTTCCAACTCCCTAAGCCGTAGACCATTGCCCCCACCTCACAGCAGCTGTGCATCATCTTCAACAGCTCATGGTTTGTCCTTTCTTCTAGAAATCGCTGGTCTTCTCAATTTCTTACTGTCTTTTGGAGCTTGGGTCTCCATTTCTAGGAAGACCCGCATTGAGCACAAAAAAATTGCTTCCCTTCCTTAATTTCAGTAGACATAGTGTAAATTTTGACTGTTTAAATTGGGAAATTGTATGTGCTCTTTCTTGCTTCTAAGTTTGCTGCACTATTGAGGCTTGTTGTGGCTGTAATGTAGATTAATTGTCCCATTTCGTTCTAGGTGCAGAAAATTTTATTTCGAATGACTTGATTGTCGTGATTGGTTGATTATCTTGTGAATTCTTGTTGTCATGCTCGGCTTGCTGCAGTTTTCACATTTTAAACCTACTGTTCTGTTATGAAAATCCCCATTGTCATGGCTGCTTTTACTGCTGCATTTTGCTTGAATCTTGGCTGTTTTTGCTACTGTTTTGCCTAGAAGAATTCTGCTGTTCTTGTCGGAAATTTCTGCTGTTTTTACTCAGAAAATCCTTCTCTTTTTGCCATAAAAGTTTACTAATTTCTTGCTATTTTTCTGCACTGTCTTAAACCAGAAAACTCTGCATTTTCCTGCATTTTTCCGTACTGTTTTCTGCACTGTTTTAGCCCGGAAGAATTCTGCATTTTCATTGCATTTTCCCTGCTGTTTTTGCACATTGCATTTTCATTGCATTTTCCCTGCTGTTTTTGCACTGTTACAACCCAGAAAAAATTCTGCACTCTTCTGCATTTTTCCTTGCTGTTTTCTGCATTGTTTTTTTCCCAGAATTTTTCTACCATTTGCCAAGTTTTGCTGCTTCTTGCCGAAAATGTTTGGAAGGTCAGCTGTCATCTTTGGAAATTTATATATGACTATGAGTGTGAGTTATATATATATACTAGTAAGGTTTTGGTGGATAGAATGGCAAGAGGAGATAGGGAGAAATTGTTCCTTTGGGATAGAACTTGGTGCTAGAATTAAAGATCAATTTTAGTTGAACAAGGCATGTTGTGACCCTGTTGTTCTTGATTATGAAATAGGTTCTAAGTCACCACCATCTCCTTGAAACCTTGAATACTTGTTATTGTAAGCCTACAAGGAGAGGTACGTAAAAGTATGGTAATGCCTTTGGATTTGAGGTAAAGGTTTTTGAAAGCATATTTTTGATGATTTTTGAAATAATAGTGGGATTAAACCCGTTTTACACAAACACAAGTATGATTGGTTTGAAATAAAATTTTTATCATTTTCATTGAGTTGAGCATGTCTACTTGGAGTTTACTTAACTGCCCTGTTGATCTGGAAATTATTTGCAAATTATGGTTTTCTGTTAACTCCTGCCTGGTTTTGTCTCCAATATGATTATGTTTTATTGTGCCCGCTAATGGGAGGTTTATAAACGCTAGCACATGTCGACATGTATTCCTAGGAACCGGTTCATCCTGTATTCTTGCCAGTGGGATAATCCACTGGTTACTACTATGCTCGCCAGTGGGAGGTTTATGAACACTGGC